AATTTTAGACATGAGATAATATTCAATATTGCACTTCAGTATTTCATAAGCAAACTAGGAAGTTTGAATGGGAGAAGATTTCAATTTCGACTAATTAAAACAACTAAATATGAATTTCAGTTTTTATAAAATGTTCGTCGGAAAGTTAAAGGTTTGAGTTGATTAAAAAGATTAAGATCATTCTCAATCAATGATATTATCTCAGAAAATGCTTTGAAAAGTTACAGTTGCCTTTTATCCTAATCAAGTGTAAGAAGTGAAAACTAATATTGTCATATATACAATATACAATATATTTACGTACATTATAACATTATTGTTACACATACCATCTTATCCAAAATAACAAGAAGATTTTGATCTATGCAAGCGGTTGAAAACGGAATTTGCAAAACTAAAACTGAGTTTACCAATTTCACTGACCACCACATTGGATCAATACTGGTAATGGAGTCGGGCCGCCGAGTGGTCTCTGCAATTAGAAACACCAGCGCTTACGGCGGAACAATTCCACAGGGTGACTATTTCATGAGAACCACTGGTCGCAGCAGCAACGTGGAATTTGCTTTGATCACGAGAGCGTAATGATTTACTACGTGCTACATTTGCACACTGAACGTTTGCACGTACACCTCAAAAGAAGAAACTCCACGACAGGAAGTTTTCATTCGCATTCTCATCAGTTGGCTTCGTATTCAGCTTTGACCGACCGTTTGTTTGAATCCGACTCTCAGGTGCCAATCACACGACCATAAGGTATTGTCACAATGGTATTGTAGGAAATGCAGGTGAAAAGCCTACACAAGCAAAGAATTTTGGAATATGTTATATGCAATTTGAAATATAGAATAGGTTAATTTTGTCATTTTTATTGCATTTATTTATTTATATTTGCCAATTTTTGCACCAATGAAACACAAATTTATCAACGTAGTACAATATAATGAAATTTAAAACTTCAATATGTTGCAAAATAGATTAATACATTCCAGATTCGCTGCGTGTATGCTGATGGCTTCTCTCTCTCCCCGTCGCTCTTTCTTTCTTTCCCTCTCTGTATATATATATATATATATATATATATATATATATATATATATATGGAGAGAAGAATATTCTTAATTGATGAGTTCATATAGTAGAAGGGTGTATGTAGTAAGTAGCAGTACTTTATACAGGAATGGTTCCCGAGATTACTGTCAGAATATGGGGCAATTAAACATTATTGACGAAGAAAGCACACAGGATAGTGAATGACAATGTTATTTGAAGACAGAACGAACCAAGTTTAGTTTAATCAATTGGTTTAATTTTAGTAGTATGTAACAATAATCTTTGTCGTTTTCGAAACACTGAAGCCCAATTTCATTTCCAAAATTCAAAGATGCATAAATCCATTATTGTAAACCTTAATTGCACACCACAAACAATTTCCGCAATTTCGGCAATTAACTTTCTAAAATAGTTTATCCTGTAAGTAGTATTTTCTGGTTATGTATTAAATGCAGAAATGAGTTATGATGAATAACGCAATTACATTATTTCCCGAGCGTTGCTCTCCTGAAGATGAATGTTTAATAGAACCGCGTCTGTCCTACATTTCTCTGTGTTTTAGTATGCACGGGCAGAAGCTAGCGCACGTAGAACTTTCAATGATTCCTCTGCATACTCGGAACGTCGTAGAGAAGTACATTGGACTGCAGACTAATAGTTATGCAAATCGCTTACTATTGTGTGCGTTACCAGGAATTCAAGATGTGTTCGTTGCTCTTCGTCAAAAGCAATGCGATTGTCATTCCTTGACGAAATGCGAATTGAATGTAATATCACTATTCATGTTTTCATGACTAAGCCGCTTTCACTACTCTAGATTATTTGAGGATTTAAATTGTAAAATTATAAAGTATGTCAAGTAATTTGATTATTGAAAATTAATATTTTCCATGTAAAACGAAGTAGGCACTTTGACTTCCTAAAACTTCACATTGTATCTACATCATTAATTTTGTGACGAGGGAACGTTAAGCAGCCTATGACCATATGAAAAGTGTAGATAACTTTTTACGTACCGGGTCTGGTGGTTGCTGTTCATTTCACTGTTAAAATTTGTATTAATAATTTCGTATGCACGGAAAAATCGAGACAAAACTAAGCAGCCTACGGCCATGTGAGGGGTGTCGATGCCTTTGTTTCATATTCTAGGAACGCGAAAAAAAGTTAAAAGAAAACAAGAAAGAAACATTCTATACAATGTACCATACAATGCAAAGGTTTGCTTATGCTATTCCATCGAATCTTGTACTGCGCGTACTGGCTGAATTATTATATTCAGAGCATCGCTTCACAGCAGACGTCTTGCGACAGAGGGGCATTGGTAAATACCTCGCTTCTATTAAATATTTGCTATTGATGTTACATTATGAAACTGCTTGTTTTTGGTTTGCAAAGAAAGCAAGAAATATACGAATACGTATTATATAACGTACCATATAAATACTGTACTATGTTACAGAAGAATTACAGAAAACTGTTGTTGTTGAAGTATTTAATTTCTTGCAGTATTCTACGGGAGCATTTTATTTGTTGTTCTTAAGTTGAGTGCGTGCATTTTGGAAAACACTTAGTGAAGTTTTGTTCAGTATCAGTTTTGCTGTTGCAGGCCACTAGTTTAGCTTATTCTGATAATTGAAAGTGATAAGTAGCATATCCCAAAATGTTATTTAGCTGCCCCAAAAGGAAGTTAATTGTTCTAAATAATGCAAGAAAGGGTTGACAAAAATAGTTTGACGGGCAGCATTTTGGCAAAGTTTTCTAAAAACTTTTTTGTTTATTATTTTTATTGTTGTTTCAGAACAGATTAGAATGACATTAGAATGACATTCATTTGTTAAGGTCAGTAAATAAAGAATTACGAAAGTAAAAGTTTAATCCAACAATATTTTCCACGAAAATGTACGGTTGGGGCATTAAGATTTTTCTTTAAAGCATTGAACATTAAGATCATAGACAGTAATAATCGGAGGCGTTTCCATAATGTGAATATCATTTAAATTGAAAGGTGTAATCATAATTGAAGTTCCGTAGATAAAATGGATGAAATACTTTCACAGTAATCACTCGTACGATTGGTCAAAATATACTATAATATTTGCAGTTTCTATATTTTATTATTATTAATTGGAAATATGTAATTAAGTATCTTCATAATCACTAGTGCGCGTGGAAATGTGCTGAACATTAAATAACTGCGGGAATACCACTACCTATTAGTCAACTAGAACTTTTTTGTAGTATCAAGAGTATGTAGTAAAAAATTCAGCCTGGATGCGTGACAGTTTTCACTCTTCGGAAAAACACGAGAGGTCTGTGCCCACAATCAGTATAAAACTCCCAAATCAAATATTTCAGCTCATTATTTTTATTTAGATATGTATTCTCAATAAAATTCTTCCCGTGTCGTGAAGGATCGCTTGCATTCTTTACCTCCTCCTATTCTCAGCGTCCTATCGTCTCCCCCTCACCCACACACATGTGTTGCACTACCACACACGTCGGGAGACCAGTGGGAGTCTAGAACTTGCCCCGACTGGGACGATGACTAGCTGGCGAGATATCTGGAGGAAGAAATCCCCAACAAGCCGACGTGTTGGTCGTCCCCAACATCCAGCAGGAGGCGAATCACTGCCTCCTCCTGGGATAAACATTCACTACAATAACGGGACTAATGATCATGGAAGTTGACGTGCTGGAATACACCAATCAATCACCAATCAATCAATCAATCCAACCACATTTTTTAGGCCAAAAGTGGTCATTTTCGACCCTTCTTTACGTTCTCGAAGTTTGTAACATTTATTCTGAGACGGTCGCGAGCTGGTGTCGAGAGGCGCACCTGAGTCTCCCAGCGGGCTGCGGCGCAGGTAGCCCACGACGGTGCCGGCCCGCGCCAGCCCGGCGCCGCCACCGCCGCCGCCCGCGGCGCCGGTGGAGCTCCCTGCGGCGGCGGCCGGGAAGCTGCGGCGCCGCGCCACGCCCCCGCCGCGCCAGCAGCCGCAGCAGCTCTGCCGCATCAGCCGCGCAGCCACCTGCAACGAAAGACGGCTCGGGGCGTCAACAGACCGGGAGGCCCAAAGGTTTCAAAGGGGGCGGGGTTTTCGACACTTGCTTGTTGAGTGGCCGCCTGCTCTGATCGGTAGTTTCCCGTGGTTTCTCCGATCAACACCTCGCGAATGCCGGAGCTGTTCCCTATCAAATGGGACACGGGCTTCCGAGGTATTTCCTTTTTCCTCCTTTCCTACCATCACCGTTAATTAGTACACACATATACATTCATGCTTTCTACTACGACACATGTTGGGAGACCGGTTGGCAGTTCAGAGCTTGTCCCAGCTGGGGCGGTGCTTCGCTTGTGGGAGATACCTGGTTGGGGGAATCAAATCTCGGCATCCAGCAGGGGAAGATCACCGTCAACCCACGCGATAAAAGCATGCATTACATTTACGGGACTAATGACCATAGGAATTGAGGCGCGCGGAATCACTAATCAATCAAGACACATGCAGCGCACAAGGCGAGCACAGCGCTGCAGACGCAAACGGGGACAAGACCCGGCATGAAGCAACGTCTCCAGGAGTACATCTGGCTTGACGACGGTCGGAAAGAGAGGTTCTGGCTGCTTCACTTTCTTCGAAGAACTGAACTTGTTGAGATGCAAGTTACCATCGGCAACAGTTATCTGTCTGGCTGTGTCCGCGACGAGAAACAAATGCGTGATGATAAGGCGAGGTCAGCGAGTACTATTGCAAAAATTAACGGAATAAACATATGCATTAAATTATTATTTGAAGTGAAAACTATTTGTTCATTACAAACATTTACTTGTTTTTCCACTCAGAGCGCATAACGCATGACGACGTGACCTCACCTTATTGACAAAACTTTATCTTTTAATGTATCACTATCCATATTAGACATATTTAAAACGTTGACTTTGTGCGTTATTACAGCCCCCTTTTTATATCGGTGGTGACATCACGCTTGTGGTCACCACGCAACGTCTTGTCACGGTGGCTGTCCCCACAAGGGCGGTATGTCCCGTTGCTGTTGCACTCGCGCGCCAATTTTAAATGTCCTAACTCAAGTGGGACTATTGTTTAGACACTTTTTATATAAATAAATTCATTTTATTTCTAAAACTTCACTACCCTGGTCTATATTGCAATAATGAAATATCTACACACATTCGTATTCATAAGAACGATTGCAAATTGCTGGTCAGATGCGGGTGGGTTTGCGGGACACAAAAGAACTTCCATCTAAAACGGTCAACTTTATACAAAGAACTCATCAAATGTATGTTTTCACAACAACGTAGATAGATAGATAGATAGATTTATTATTTCTGCAAGTAGGTATAGAACCTGGTGGCAGAACACTACATTTTACATATTACAACTGAGAATAGTAATACACTGTAATTTTAAAGCATTTTAAGGCAGGTTTTGAATTAACAAAACTAATATCAAATGAAAGCAAATTCTCCAAATATCATGAACTATGCATTCAATACCGTCAATAATTTATTGAACATATTTAATTTAAATAACAAGCGAAATTAATAAGAGTAAGTTGCAGCAAGAGTCAGACGAAGAGAGAATATTAGTATTTCTCTCAGACTGCCTCGATCGAAGCACAGCGGTTGGCAACAAGTCACCCCCATTTGGTTACATCACAAAAGGTCGGATGTTCCCCCGTGTTAAAGCGAAGAGTCAAAGAGTAAATGCCGTAAACCCAGTAATAGAGACAAAAGTCAAGGGCGTGGTAAAATAATTGCGAGTTACCAAACGCTGGAGAGAGCGCCAGTTGGACGCTCTTTGGTTTCAAAATGATTTTATATACATTGCATTGCGGCATTATTTTGAATATTGAATGTAATTAAAAGGAAAATGTACATTTCTAAGATATTATAAGATCTTTTTTTATTATCTGGAGGTTGTGCAACCGTGCAACCTAAGCAAGAGCGGCCACTGCCCAACAAAACAACAGCACGTGGCGTATTCCAGACCTGCTCCATTCAGTTGCTCGTCGAGCGCCGCCACTTCCCTGCGAATAACATTCACTACACTAACGGGACAAGTAACCACGGCAGATGACATGTCCATCCAGTATCTTAGCGGGTCCAGCGGTATTGATAATACCGAAGTTGATTCCGAGCCAGTCTGATCCGCACTCCGTGACATCCAGCATGTGCGACTGTTAAAATGCATAAGGCTCCCTGTCGTATATCAGTATTCGTGTTGGTAGATCGCACGTTTTGTTTCCGTATTCATCCCATTTACATGAACAAGACCCTCACCCCATGCTAATGCGATCTGCTCAATCCAAGCGAGGTTCGTCGCCTGGCATACGACGAAGTCGCATATGCACTTATGTCCACTATTTACAACCACGGAATTAACCTCAGATTTCACAAGGTTTTTTTACGATCTTTGGCAGCAGGAATGTACGTATTTTTTGTATTTTAGAACGTTTCGTAAAAAAGAGATGAAATCAAATATATTCTAAAGGCGCTTGTCCATCACGCTGCACATTGTGTTCAAAAATGCGTTTAAATTTTAACGATATCCAAAAACAAGTGAATCATATCTTTAACTATGACGCAGACTTTGAATACTTTTCTAAAAAACTGTGTTTCCTAGAAATAAATCTCTTTAGAAATAAGTTGTGCAGAAACTAGGTAACGAACTTGCGAACATGTTCAGAACAGTGTTCCAGAGGCCTCGAAGTAGTATGATTATAATGTATTATATGGCATTCTTCTGGCTAAATGGACGTAATTCAAAGAAATAGTGTGTTCCACATATTTAAATGACAGTATAGAACATTTTATTATTTATTGACATTTTATTATTAACTGACATTCACTACAGATTTAGTCATGAAAGTCAGATGTTTCCCAATGATTTGTGGCCTTTCGACTGCATCCGTAACTCTTTGGGTCTGCACTTGTTTGATATTTCTGGGCACGTCAACTGCCATGGTCAATATTCTCGTTAGTGCAGAGAAAGTTAGTATTCTTGGAGATGGCAATGTTCCTTCCCCACTTGGTGGAGAGATCTGGCGCCGACCTACACTTCGGCCTGTGAGCTTTTCCCCTCCAGTTACCATTCGCAGCGGACAACCGCAATTGGCACAAACTCTAAACCTCTGACGGGTATCACTACATATGGCTGTAAAGTGCATGTGAGTGTGTGTAAGTAAGTGGTGAAGATAGAGCACGGAAGAGGAATGAAAGATCAAGCGTGGTCCAGTCGCCTGATGTTGATCCGAGAAGCTCTGATCGGAAAATTACCGATTAGAGCAGCCGCCCGTTGGAAGACTTTCAGACAGTGGCTGAATTCGACCCATCTATTAAGCTATTGTCAAAAATCCGCCACGGCCGGGACTCGAATCGTTTAACCTCTCGACCAGTAACATCGCTGCAGAGACGGCGCTATGCTGGCTCTGTGCAAAACTCAGCCGATCTGCATCTCAGACATAGTAAATTTGCTCGGCTCCAAATTGTGACCGGAGCAGAGAGGATGTCTGGTGCTACGGTTCAGTGCTGAAAGGTGAGGTATATGGGTTCCTATTGGTCAGCACATACGATTATCAAGGTTGATACAATGGAAGAGGACGACGAATATACGTAGTTATTGCAGTATTCTGAATAGTATATAGTATTCTGAATAGGCGTACACGGCGAAACGCCCTCGTTTGTTAATTGTCAACTCTCAAGTTGTAATAAGTTTAATTATTTTGTGAATTACTATTGTTAGCATTTTAAGTCCCCCAGGAAGGTGATAAATTGATTATTTGCTTTTTCTTGACAAGACAAAATGGTCAAAGCCATTTTTAGTCAGATCCATCTATATTAGTCTGAAAGAATTAAAGTTTGCTTTGTCTGTTTCAAGACACATACAGTAGTGACACGCTGTAAATTATTAAAGAAATATTGCGTATCTGTTTCAACGCCAATTGTAGGCGAAAATTGTTTAGCCCGATGAGGCTTCCGATTTAATTATTTTTGTCTTTTACAGTTTTAACGAGAAAGAATATTACTGAATATTCTATCTCCCTTGTTTTATTACAGTTTATATTGTTTTAGAAGTTGTTAGTTGATTACTTCAATCATTTCTTGATTATTAAACCTAATTTCATAACGAAAGAAAATTTATCGATCCTTTACATGCAAAATTTCTGTGGTCAAGGATAAACAAGCCAGACAACTGCATTCTGTTTAAAATTTCTTGAAATCTGAACTTCCCTACAAGAAATGTTTAACGTGAAAAAAATATTTTGACGTGACATGCCAAGCTAGTAATAATCTTGTAATCTGAACTATAAACAGAAATACTTAACGTGCAAAAACCTTTGGAGGTCCTTTGCCAAGCTAGAAATAGGGGCGGTACTGGCACGAATAATCCCATGAAGAAAACGCGAACCCGACGGCTTCGATGGCGACGAACGGAGCAAAACCGCGCCCGCTTAGCCCGACGCCGCCCCCCTCGCCCCCCTCGCCCACCCCCCGGCCCTTGATGGAGGGCCGCCGGAGGGCGCGGAGGCTTCCCGGCAGCCGGAAGAAGGACGGCGTCCCTTTAATCTCCACCCCGCCCCCCCCACTGTGGAGCTGCGCGGGGGCGGAACAAATGGCGGCGAGAAGCCCCTGCGGGAGCAGTGGCACCGCCTTACGCCCCACGATCGCTCATCCCACTGCTCGTGAGGCGGAGGCGAGCGATTCGGGGATGAGGAATTTGAATTTAATAGCGATTATGCAAACTGCACGTTTTTTAAAAAGTTTTAAGCATACGGGTTATTTATTGCGCAATATTTAATGCTAATGATCTCGAAGCAATTTAAGAATATGAAAGAAAAATTGAGGTACGGGTAATGAGCGCCACATGGACGTAGCTGCTTTCTGCTGCGAGAGCAAAAGTAACCTAACTGCATTGAATGGGAGATGCATTTAGGTCACTTTTCCACTTGTGGCAGAAAGCAGTAAGGCCATTATTACGCTTTTGCCTTGATTATTACGCTAAAAATACATGTTCGCAGAAAACGTATTTCTATTTGTTGCATACAGACAAAAAAGTCGACAAAAAAGTTATTCAGAGTGTTGAAGTAACGTGGATGTTTATTGCATAACTGTAAATACAATTCACTAAATCGAATATTTCCCATGTAAACACGTAGGCTATCTTTGTTTTAAGCTAAATCCTTTTTTCAGAGTAGACTGCGAATGGGTTACCCTCAATTGGAAAAAAATTAAGGCGTCTTTCGACATGTTCTGCCACATCAGTCCCTGTGGGCACGGAGTGTCGTGCGCCTGTGTGTGTGTTCGAGGTACCACCTCATCCGCCCCGCACTCGTTGATCGCTCATTTGCATTGCAAGGTAAAGGAGAAACTTCCTGTGAAGTGGAATTTGAATTTAATGGCGATTATGCAAACTGACCCTTTTTAAATTTTTAATGATGCTGGTTATTTACAGCACGACTCTTATCGCACGTGATATCGTTTCAAGTTAAACATATAAAGGGAAACTTTCAGTACAAGAACCTTCAGAATTCGCATTTTTTGTAACATACCTTCTTTATTCTTTAATGTTGAGGTTTCAGGGTATTTGATGTTTATAAAACTTCATATATCTTGAACTGTCTTTGTATAAACGAATGTCCCTGAACACTTTAATTCTCATAGATCAGGGTCTGATAATTTAATATTTGATACAAAATGGCATGGGACGCCGTCATATTGGTTTCTATTATATTTCTTGTTGTTTTTGTAACAATTTTGGAAAGTGTTTCACCTCAATTAAAAGTGAAATACCTCTATTATAAATCTACCGTTTGATGCCTAAGAATTCACATTTTCCCCCCTTTTAATCAGTTTCTGTCATTACACAGCCCTAAAATAGTTAAGTGCACATGCAGATGACATTAAAACAGATCTTGGGCAAAACTTCTGGGCAAACCTGCAAAACAACGAACTCACATTACTCCATGAAGATCCAAATCACCAACTGACTTCCATTTTTGAAGAGACTAAAATATATGATTAAGAAAGATTTTTTTCAGCAATGCCCCCGGACATTAGAAACAGAATGAAATATGAGAATATAATTTCAAACGGTCTATGTAATTTTTGTAATAAATGGTCTTCCATTCGTTATCTATTATTTTAACAGAGTATTTACAAACTTTCACCTTTTGGGTAACTCACGCGTGCTACCTTTCCGTGGTACGATCCCAGATTCGATTTTCGGTCGGACTAAAATTAGAGCTGTTTGCTTTTCATTACAATCGCCTCTGTTTTTATGGCTGTGTGACGAAAGGAAAGCTCAAGCAAGCTAAATAAGCTGGACACGATGAGGGGAAGTTGTCATGTTCTCCACGTGTCTGCCTCACTACCAGGCGTGGAAAATAAAACAAATTGCTGATACATAAATAAAAACACAGATCTGATAATATCGACAACTGGCAAACGTTGGATTACTCTGACACCAAAATATTAAATACATACAACTAGCAGAATTTCGCCAGCCACCGCCTTCCGGCTCCATCACTGCAGCTACGACCTGGTTGTTCTCGTGCAGCAATCGCCCCCTTTCTGGCTAACTCAGCATTAGTTTCATCCCGTCTACATCGTCCTCCCGCTCGTTCAGGCCTGATTGCCCCCACCACGCGACACACGGCAACGCCAAGGGCAATAAAGCCCAGGTGAATTGGGAATCGCTTTTAACTGAGACGCCATCTTGTGCTGCAGAGCCATCTAGTGGGTAGGTACATAAACGTGAACAGCATAAAAACATTTATTGTGAAAAAATAATTTATAACATTAAGTTTCATGAAGATCGGTCAAACTGTGTCGAAGTTTATCGCCAACAGACTCACCAACATGCATTTTTTTACATACGAAAAGATGTAGATGTATAGATATAAATTAGAAAATATCTTTTTGCTGACCTCACCTTGATCTCGTTCATCCGCGCCGCGTAGATGATGGGGTTGAGCAGCGTCTTGAGGATGAGCAGCAGGTTGCACGTGCTGTACACGTGGAACATGGCGGCTGAGAGCGGGGCTCCCGGGCCCAAGGGGCAGTCTTCGCAGAGCAGCACGTAGACGGAGACGGCCGGCGCCCACCCCATCACGCACGACCCCACGATCAGCAGTGTAGTTCGTGCCGCCTTCACGTGGCGCGCCACCCGCTGCTGCCTGCGCATGCGCACAGCGCACTTACGTTTTCGAGAGAGGAACCGGCAAAGATGGCTCAGGGCATCAACTGATGACACCGCAGCTCCTTTGACAGGGAGGTACTAGCGTTTCGACACTAGTTACATATGTAGAATGAATTCATCCGCTGCCGGAACCTCTAGCGGCTGACTGGTATTGTTTGTAGTTTTCCATCGTTTCTCGTATCAACACCAGGCGAATGCTGGGGCAGTATACTAAAAAACTGACCACGAACCGCGGACGATCTTTCCTTTCTCGTCCCTGTCTTTTCGTCACCCCTTACGTACACACACTCGCACCTACATGCACTACATTATCACACTAGTCGGGGGACCAGTCGGAAGCTCAGAGCTGGTTCCGGCTGGGCCCCGCTGGGTGATACTGGTGGAGGAAAAACATATGCAGGCCCAATTATAGGTCGAAATCGGATCTCGTCACCCGGTGGGGAAGATCACCGCTACCTCCCGCGATGAAAACATGCTCTGAACTTAAGGGAATATGACCATAGCCCTACATGCGACTGGAATCCCTAATCAAACTGCTGGGACAAGCTCTACGATCTCCAGACTGGTCTCCCGGTATGGGTGATAGTAAAGTGCACGTTAGAATAAGTGGGAGTAAGTAAGTAAGAGGCAAGGATAGAACAACGATGATGAAGAAATAATGGCGCATTTGCCTGGTTTTAATTGGAGAAATGACTGAAAACTACAGACCAGTGCAGCCGACCGCTAGAATGTTCCATTGGCAGCTGCTGAATTCGACTTTGCTACGTTCTCGAAAACCCTGCCACTGTCGAAATTTGAACTCGAGGACCACCCGTACTTCAGTGACTGTGACGGGATGGCATCAATTGATGCCCTGAGTGACCTATGCCGGTCTGGTGGTATTGGAGAGTACGTGCCTTGGGTGTAGTGACGTGGATACCGGACCAGTTCAGGCGCCCTGGACTATTTCTCAAGATTATTGGTGGTTGTACGTTTCTAGGAAATCTTCTGATTTGTGGCAAAAGTTACGATATGAGTTCCATCGTAGAAAATTGTATATTGTTAAAGCAATAAACTGTTATTTGTTTGCGCATCTTAGTCTGAATACTTCAGGGAGTATTTTTTATTTCCTGACATATACTTTCCTACTATCTTTCAAACTCTGCAAGTTAGTCTCATGTAACACCTTTTGCAAGCAAGTAAGCCCAGAATTGAAAAATTTTTGGTTTGAATATTTTGGGTTTGTTGGTGCGTCATTTCTTTTGGATATTAGTCTCGTTCGGATGATGTAGCCGGGAGGTGACTGTTCTGCAGTTCTGGTGGAGTGAGAGATCCAGCGCCGATCTACACGTGGGCTCAAAATCTTTCCCTTCTCGATCACGACCATTCTTTCCCATTCTTGCCCCCACCGCTCCTCTTACACATTCTCACTTTAATTCACTACCCTTCCACACATGACAGCAGTCGTGAACTTGAAGCGTATCCCACCTGGAGCGGTATCCCATTGGGAAGATACCTGTATTAGATAAGCCTCAACCGATGTCTACATTGATGTAGACGTCACATTCCAGCGAGACACACCCTTATCTCCCATAGACTACACTTATGGAACTAATGACCAAAGCATTTCATACTCCCAAAAACACGAAATTCTCTCCCATCACCCAATATGAATTTCCACTT